GATGTTTGCTGTGAAGTGACTTTCAAGTAGGTAGGTACCAGGTAGTACCAGCACGGCGGGAAAAGCACGGACCACCATTTCGCACGTGATGATAGTGCCAGTCCGCGAAATGGGCAAGCTTCGAAATTTGATATCCAAGGCCGTCTCGAAGGCCGATTTTCCAAGCCAATCAGACAAGATATCTTCACCATGGCCGGGGCTCGCGAAGGGACTCGCATGGCGAGCTCTCTTCTCAGAAGACAATTGACTTCACCTCTAGCTCCTTCTTGCGCCAGGAGATTTGCATCAACGAAACCCGACGCCTTGTCTGATCTTGACCAAGCATCCTCATTTTCGACACCCCAGCCCGATAAAGCGCAGTTGGAGGCATGGAGTACGTCCAATTCCGAAGGTGGAAAGGGAAAGCAGCTTCCAGGCAACCGGTAAAGACTATTCAGACCTCCGGGTTGCAGTTGCATTACTGACAAAACAATTTCTCAGATACCAATATCATCCCCCCAAGTACTACCGCGGCCCTCTTCATCCTGTTCAGATGCCCGCCCCCTCCGATCCTACGGCTCGAGATTTCAAACCCGGACCCTTCAATGTCCCTCGGCTTAGACACACATACGATGGCACAATTGCGCCTGACATCCTTACCCTAACCTACCAGCACAAGGTTCCCGGAGAGGAGGCGGTTGAGTCAAAAAAAGGTGAGCTCAGGGAATGGGATGGCTCCTCGCCGTACCACAAGAACCGTCCTCGGAGAGGACCTCGAGGCGGAGGTTCATCCCGATTGGGCCTCCTGGAGCGGGACATCGACTTCAACAACATCCCGGAGATTACGGCCGTCACAGTCAATTCCTATGCCCCGCTGGCGGCTGAGAACAAGGAGTATCTGCAAGTAGCACGATCTGTTGTCCAGGCTATCACGGGAGAATTCCCCGAGACCACGACAGTCAAGCACCACGTCATGCCGTGGGGTGTCAAGAAGGGTGACAAGACTGGAGCCAAGGTCACCTTGACAGGAAATGCAGCCTACGAGTTTGTTGACAAGCTCGTAACCCTGGTGCTGCCCAAAATCAAGGATTGGCCTGGCGTCAAGGCCAGCAGCGGTGACAGCGCTGGTAATATCGCTTTTGGTATGGAGCCAGAGTGGATGTCATACTTCCCAGAGATGGAATACAACTTTTCTGTAAGGCCCCTCAACGGTAATGACACTGTATGAATACTGTATCACTAACACTCGAAAGATGTACCCCAATAAGCTGATCCCAGGTTGTCACATTTTCATCCACACCACCGGCACATCTGATCGCCACGGGCGGCTGTTGATGGAAGCTCTCGGCTTCCCCTTCTATGGAAAAGCCACGCACTAGCAGACATTTGGAAACAATGATTCTGGTTGTGTATTTGGGGCCTCTACGTGGGACGACTATTGTGCATGTAAAACAAACAATATAGATGTATACAAGTTGTATAATAAGACTCTATTCTTGCCTACTTGGAGCCGTATCCTGACTCTTTCTATCTCCTTTTTCCCGTACCGTGTGATAGATCCCCTAGCCCTTCCATTTGTGCTCCTTGTGTCAGAAGAACGCCGTAACTCCTACAAATGATCATGACTTCTCATTAAATCGTCGAAACAAACGCTCGGCCTATGCTGAGGAGGCCTTGGCCTTTGCTCGAAGGTCGCCCATAATGTCATCAATGGCTTCCATGTTGGTCGCGTCAGTCTTGTCCGTAGCCCGCCCGCCCTTGTTCAGCTCTTCGGCGAACACGTCCATTGCTGGCTGGTAGTTCCTGACGGCTGAGCTGAGAGCATAGATGGCTTTTCTCCGGACATCCTCGGGGTGCTCCTCCTTGACTGCCAACTCAACCAGCGACGGGATGCCTCCCATGGCCAGGAGCTTCTCTTGGGTCTTGACGTTGTTCTGCACAGCTGTGCCGATGCACCACGCGGCCATCTTGCGGATTTCGCCCTCCTCATGCTTGAGCTGCTCGAGCAGCGGCGTCCAGAGGCCCATGTTGGCAATGTTGTTGGCATTGTCGAGCGACTCGATGAGCTGCTCAAAGTTGTCAAATGCGATGAGCTTGTCCTCGACGCTGACGTCTGCGGAGGTGATGATCTCCATGGACGCCTTCATCAGGTCGGCCTCGGAAGGGCCGCCCATGAGGGCGGCCATGACATCGGGTGTGAGATCTGTATGAGGCCTCGTTGCTGGTGCTCCGGCTGCGGGGTCACTCTGAGCGTTCTCAGTATTTTCGATACTCCATTTGAGGAGATCATTTAATCGTTTGTCGCCCATTATTGCAGATTAAGAAAAAGAGAACTTTTTGAATGAAAGATTATGAGATGGTTTTGGTGATGAGAGAGATCTAGACCATGAAAGGAAGATGTTTTGATATTCTTTTTATTATTCACCTATGAGGCTGCCCAATTTTTTTTCTATGTGCTTGGATATGCTCTTTCTGGAAGTTTCAAGAACAATCTACCCCACAATTAACGGGCTACTGAGCTCAGGTCAGCACAGACCGACGGGTCGTGGGAGGATTTCCCTCCCGTGCGGTGCAAGCTGGGCTCTCCGTGGACGTGCGCCCAGAATAATCAGATTTGCTAGTGATATGAGCTGGCTGCTAAGATGCTTGTGGACAGATCATAGGCCGAGACATCTGAACAACTGTCGGGCCAGAACCCGCGGAAGCTCCCCAGGATGCTTACCTCAGGACCAGCTAGTGGGATGTAATCGGATAATCGACCTTCAAAAGAATTGGAACATGAAGGCGAAAAAATTCTGCCCCACCGTCATTGCCCCTCGACGCCGCTTTAACAGCTGGTCTGGTGCTGACCCCTCCAAGTAGGGCTTTGTACTCGCTGCTGTCTGTTTTGAGCGGCGCGATGGCCGCATCATCTTCACAGGATGGTGGGTGTAACCGTAGCCGTGGTGGTGAAGTGCGCCATGCACCAATTGATGCGTTCTCGGCCCTAAACAAGGAAATCGGTACAGAGCAACGAGCCTACTTATCTCGCCAAGATCTAATTAGGTTAGATGAATAATGACCAGTCCCCAGTGGCAAGGTATGGTGCATAGGCAGGGGGCGGGGAGTTTGTTGGGGACACATGTCATTTAGAACCCATCTACACACGGCGGAATTCCACCAGAGTCCCCGGTTGGCTGCTGCGAGGGTGGCCCCGAGAGAGTGGATGTGGATGATGCTGACCGCGACATTGACGAGGCTGGTGGTTGTGCTGGTAGCCTTGCGTATGCACCGTACTCGCGTAGGGGGTGTAGGTGGGCAGGATGAGACGGGCATTGCAAAGGGCAGGATGACTTACACGGCCACCTGGATAGGCATGTGCGCATGAATGTATGCGGGCTGCGAGGCGGATAGGTATGCTCCCCAATCCTCTGTCAAGCTCGTTCAGCCACGCGCTGGCACTTTTGTCCCACAGGGCGAGCAAGGCAAGTTCACTAACGCCTGTGGACTGGAGGAGCTAATTTGACCAGCTCCAAGGGTCCTGGATCTCGTCGAGCTGGGCACGGTACACGGCCGAGACGCGAACGAGAGGGCGGTCGGCGGTGCTACGTAGTACCTACTCGTTTGGGGGAGCTTCGCTCTCGGGAAGAAGCTTTCTGGATGCCAAATTAATCGTCCTATATCGCCAGATATTAATGTCGATAGGCAGGTACTGTCCATATGCAGACTCCTCCCCCCGACATGCCCCCCTATTTTTAGCATATCCATACCAAAATATTACTTTAATTCATCTCTTCATCTCTTCACCGAACTTACTAACGTGCAGATGGTGCTGGGAGTTGCCCACAACAGCCCATGACCGCTCTTGCCCCATCCGACAAGGCACCCATCTTCACATCGGTTCCTGCCTGCTTAAGTTTCCTGCCTGGTACTTGGGTCGGCTCCGAGTGCTTCTTGAAAAGGGGGCACGCCAGCAGCAATGCGCAGCGCGGGCATTGGCTTCAGGTACTTTGGTACAATAGGTAGGTAGCGTCACGTAGCCGGGCGAGTGAAGGCATCTACAAAGAATGCGCCTGGCTGATTATTCGATCAGCTGGCAGCTCCGCGTGCAGGAAGCTGCCATTGAAGTCGATGCTATAGATCGGGGCCTAGACAAATCGACCAAGCAGAGTGGAACCCTCGCCAGCAGGTAGCAACAGATTACCCATAGGCAGCTACTTACTGGCACCCCGTAGAGCCCTGCCATGGGGGGAGCACCTTATCAGAATTAGGTACCGACTTGGCATCGCGAAGGCAGCACACGACGGTCTCTGGCCCTCGGCGCAGTCGTGGAAGTGGCGGAACTACACTGGCACGAGTAAGCTGGATTGCGTGCGTGCTGACGTGCACCACGCCCAAGAACGCAACGAGCGGGCAGAGCAAGAGGGCGTCCAGCAGGTACCAGTCCAGGCAGTCATATTCGGCCCCTTCCTGCCTCCGATAGCCCACCGTATTTAATTGGGCGGAGGGAAAGGAGGCTATGGTGCCGACGGTGCTGAATTTCGGCTCCAGCATATATCTCCCAGCCACCACCACAAGCCAATCAGCTTAAAGCAGCAAGCAGTTGCCCCCGGTTTTTCTGCCACGATTTTTACTCAGACACAACCACGCTGCTGTACCAGCCCAGTTACGTAGGCGGTGTCTTCCTTGGGTACTTGGCCTGCTGGGTCCTTTTGGGCTGCTGTGGTCTGTGGTTCTCTGGTCTCTTAGTGGTCCACCTCAGCACTTCGCCCGCAAGCTGGCCGCCCACAACTTTCTCGTGACGACGGCTCATCAGCGACACTTCCCTCCTTTCCCCCCCTCCACATCCACTTCGTTGCTCTAGCCAACCTTCCCCCATTCTCTCGACCTTGAGTTTACACTCAGTTCGACCATCCTCATCCGCTGCCAGCTCTTGAGATCGTTGTATCCCTCGAGCTTTCTTTTTTCTCTTTTACGTCTCGTCGTTTTCTTCCCTCTCCGTCTCTTTTACCACAACTCCGTTTTCCACCTAATCAGCAGCCATGGAGGGTACGTCGTCGCCGCCAGTTTCCCCTATCGCGCCTGAGGCATTAGGACCTCTGAGCATCGCGCGATAGAACCTTGAGATTCTTACTGACCGTTCTCCCGTTTGCAGAAGAAGTTGCCGCCCTCGTCATCGACAATGGGTAAGCATGCCACCCGTCTCACCGACATCACTGCGCTGGCGCTGGGAGGTCTCGACGGGGACCAATCCAATGGCGCGTCGACCAACCTACCAGACCACCGCCCTCCCTACACTGTGAGCATCGTGAGATAGAACAAGAGGTCTGACTTGATGGTAGTTCGGGTATGTGCAAGGCCGGTTTCGCCGGTGATGATGCTCCCCGAGCTGTTTTCCGTGAGTACCCCACTTTGATGCCCCTTGCGCTGCCAGCACAATCGCCATGCTGGCCAGAGATTGTGTTGATGATTGTGACTGACCTCTCTTGCCAGCCTCCATTGTCGGTCGTCCCCGTCACCATGGGTAAGTTGGAAATGCCGAATTGACCAGAGCGACCCCTTATCGGGGGAGCTTCCATAGCTGAGAGTGTTGAGCCTAACCGTTTTGGCAGTATCATGATTGGTATGGGCCAGAAGGACTCCTACGTCGGTGACGAGGCTCAGTCCAAGCGTGGTATCCTGACTCTCCGCTACCCCATTGAGCACGGTGTTGTCACCAACTGGGACGATATGGAGAAGATCTGGCATCACACTTTCTACAACGAGCTGCGTGTTGCTCCTGAGGAGCACCCCGTCCTGCTCACTGAGGCCCCCATCAACCCCAAGTCCAACCGTGAGAAGATGACCCAGATCGTCTTCGAGACCTTCAACGCTCCCGCCTTCTACGTCTCCATCCAGGCCGTTCTGTCTCTGTACGCTTCCGGTCGTACCACTGGTATCGTTCTGGATTCCGGTGATGGTGTTACTCACGTTGTCCCTATTTACGAAGGTTTCGCCCTTCCCCACGCTATTGCCCGTGTCGATATGGCTGGTCGTGATCTTACCGACTACCTCATGAAGATCCTGGCCGAGCGCGGTTACACCTTCTCCACCACTGCCGAGCGTGAAATCGTCCGTGACATCAAGGAGAAGCTCTGCTACGTCGCCCTCGACTTCGAGCAGGAGATCCAGACTGCTGCCCAGAGCTCAAGCTTGGAGAAGTCCTACGAGCTTCCCGACGGTCAGGTCATCACCATTGGCAACGAGCGATTCCGTGCTCCTGAGGCTCTCTTCCAGCCTTCTGTCCTGGGTCTTGAGAGCGGTGGTATCCACGTCACCACTTTCAACTCCATCATGAAGTGCGATGTCGATGTCCGAAAGGATCTCTACCTGAACATTGTCATGGTGAGTTTTGCGCATCTATTCCTTGTTTATTTCTGTGGTTCGTAATAAGCTAACCAATTGTCAACAGTCTGGTGGTACCACCATGTACCCCGGTCTCTCCGACCGTATGCAGAAGGAGATCACCTCTCTTGCTCCTTCTTCCATGAAGGTCAAGATTGTTGCTCCTCCCGAGCGAAAGTACTCCGTCTGGATCGGTGGTTCTATTCTGGCTTCTCTGTCTACCTTCCAGCAAATGTGGATCTCCAAGCAGGAGTACGACGAGAGCGGCCCCAGCATCGTCCACCGCAAGTGCTTCTAAGCGATACAGCACCGCCCAAAACGAACCAATCCACCCTCCGCACAGGGATGCCAAGATCACAAAGGTGGCTGCTGCCTTTGCAAGGAATGGTGGGCTGCGCGCGTATCACAAACGAGTCTCATATTTACGAAAAGTTTTTGAAATGGTCACGGGAGTGGGCGTTGCCTTTTCTCAGAAAAGATATGATGGCCACCATGTTGTAGTCGGATGCGTTATGCGGGCCCCTAGGAGGTTAGAAGCTGGGTTGATTATACAATTACTTTGCATTCCGTGCTAGACCCGTCGAATGGAAGATGAACGTGATGAAGCAAGTTTGAAACAAAATTGTCTTTAGAAGAGTGCAGCAGTCAAATAATGGTGTTTTATATATGTAAAAAGCCTACTTCGCAGATGTGACTGAGATCTAAAGCTAAGCCTACATCCTCGTGGTCATGTGGTATTGTCTAGATCATGGTGCCTTTGATTTGGAACTGATGGCATCACCTGTATCGATCTCGAGGTGGCCTGGCTTTCCCTCCTCGCTTCCATCAAGTTCGCCTGATGCATCGGTAGAGACCGTGCCAGTGGACTCTTCCTCGAGCTTTTTGTATTTACGTCGTTTCTTCTTGTCCGCACTCGCCGCTTTCTTCTGCTTAATCTGGCCAACCCGAGCAGAGCGACTTTGGTCGCCATTAAGTAAATCATCGACCTTTTGGGCCAGAATCTCGCGCGCTTGTTTTCGATTCTGGTCGCGGGATCTCGTAGCTTGCGACTTTACGACTATACCGGTCGGAATGTGTTTGAGCTGGACGGCGGAATTGGTTTTGTTCTACAAACGCAAGTATAGATTAGCTAGTGCCCCTACGTTGACGGCTTGTCTGAGGCAGAACGTACGATCTTTTGCCCACCCGGGCCGCTGCCTTTCAGGTAAGACTCCTCAATCTCCGATTCAGGAGGTGGCTTTGGCCGCGGGGGCAGGCTCTTTGCGCGAGCCACCGAGGCCACATGGAAAGGCCTCGCGAGGGCCGCCCTGGTGGAGGGTAGCCGAGCTAGATGGCATTGCGTGCGCCGCGACAGGAGCGACAGGATCATGATGCCATACTATGTCAGGGCTTACTTGCTCTAGCACAGTTTCATCGCACTGAACTTGGGTTACGCTGCCATTGATCCTCTAGGGACGATAACGGCCGAGGTGCGTTTTCCGGGAGCGTGGGATGGGCGGATAGATCGTCGGACAGTGCTAAAACACGGCCGGCAGGGGGGGTTTTTAGCGTGCCAGACCTGTTACGGGACCTGTGACACAACCCAATTGATATTACTACTACCCGCCCGTTTTCCCTATCCTGAACAAACGGCAATTAAAACATTTCTGTAATAACATCAGCATTTTCATCCCCTTTACTTACCCTTCAATCACGCGCCCAGTCCACCCACCCGGCATACACTTCTCGACACTTTTTTCTACGCATCAACAGAGACAGCCGCCGCTTCCGGTACGATCCTTCATCGAAGAAACTGCACGGCCTCCGAATTGGCCGCGAAGACATATCCAACAATGGGTCGATCAGGCAGCATCCAGAAATGGCTCCAGCTCAAGCAGTACCACCTTGAGCTGACCTTTGCCGTATACATGTTCACCCCCTGGGAGAAGTTTGCCTTCTGTGAGTCCCCCCGAACGCTCATCCCTCCAGGAGTCGACCTCCTTTTTTTCTGATCACACCCTTCTAACCTCTCTCTCTCTCCAGACTCCATCTTCTTCCTCCTTTTCAGCCTGACCTTCATCGCTGCGATCCTCTACCTCCCACACCACATCTCCTTCCTCGTCGGGCGCGCGTGGTACTACATCAACGGCGAGCACATCGACGTCGCCGAGGCGGCCATGGAGGTGGTCAAGGAGATGTCCGCGAGCGTGCTGCAGGAGACGACCACGACGAGCGTGGAGAAGCTAGCCCAGACTGTTGCTCGCGAGCTGTAACAGACTTCGTCTAGAGGGGAGCACGTTCCCATACTTGTGAATTGAGAGAATGGTGGACACGGGGCATTGATTTGCATACTTAATTTTTGGGAAAGGGGATGAATGAATGTGGTAGATTTTTGGCATTGCCGGGCGTTTTTCTTCCCTTCTTCTACTTCTTTTATCATACGCTATTTTAAACATCATAGGCCATAGCGTCGGCTGTCTCGGTTAGGGACTAATGAAACAACATCTACATCATATAGAGGCAATGCAAATATTTGAATAAACAACTTTTTATCTACCTTTACCCCTGGAGCTGCTCGCAGAGTGGCCACAGGGAGAGTTCCTCTGCTCTATGAGCCCACAGAGCGCAAGAATTCCTTGTCGACCGCGTACAGTCTTAACGAGCTATCGTCTCCAGCAATCGCCAGTTTATATGTTCCTCCGTTGTCCTCTTTGGTGGCAGGCTGCCAAGCGAGTTGAAGGACGGCTTTCGGTAGATCGAAACTATAGGAGACGATTCTGTCAGGTTTTTCTGGGTCAAGTGGGAGAACGCAGTAAGGGGACTTACTCTGTGGAGTGAGGAACCTGTGCTACCTCGGCGTCTTCGGTCAGGACATACAAGTCTAGACGACCGGCTTCTGTGCCTACGGCTAGGACGTATTTCCCATCCACCGGGTGCGGCATGAAGTCTATGGAGGTGACTGGAGATTCACTCGGGATCGATTTTGTTTGAGAGAACTGCATCTGCCCACTCTCATTATCAGTGCCAGCCCAGATCCGGACTTGTTTGTCTCGGCCAGCGGTGGCGAAGATTGGTTTCGCGGAAGGCATCCACGCAGCATCAAGAATCATCCTCGTGTGGCCTTTCGGGTTGGATTGAACGAGTTGATATTGGAGAATATCCTGAGTATCCCGTGCGAAGACAGCCCATTGTCGATCTCGACCGACACTGAGGAGATACTTGTCATCAGCTGAAAATCGAAGCCGAGTTGCTGTCAACGAGTGTGCCGTGAGTGGCGGTCTTATTTCTGTCCAGCGCTCTGTCTCAAAGAGACGAATCACGGCATGGTTTGTCGAGCTTGCCTTGCATGCGCTTGCAATAAGCTTACCGTCGTGGCTCGTAGTGAGGCATGATATTTCGTAACCATGACCGTAGAGCTTTTCGGTCTCTGGCCAGAGTGTGTGACGAGAGAGGGTCTCTTCGTATGGCGGGTGATCGATTTCGAGATATGACTTCTTCACTATAGACGCTGGGTCCATAGCCTCGCGATCACGGTCATCAACTGGCTCGATTTCTTGGTCGTCGTCGACCGCGTCAATGGCCTTGTTTGACAGGCCCAAAACGGGCATATTGGCTGCATCTGGCATATTCTCCAATCCCTCCTGGCCAAGACCACCAAGCCGGTTCAGCATCGAAGCCACAGCCTTGGGCTCGCTGAAGACTCTCATCAATTTTTCGTCGGCCCCTGAGACAAACTGAGATGTTCCCAATGAATCGATACAGTTGAGATCATATCCGTGAATTTGAGGTCGCGACATCTCGTGCCATGTATTGGCTCCCCCGGCTTTCCATTGAGTGTGCAGTCTTGTTGTCTGATCAAGACTGGCTGAGAGTAGGTATTCGCCGCTCTTGGACCAAGAAATACCAGAAACTGCCTTCGTATGCCCGGAGATTGAGATGCAGGGTCTCCAGGCATCTTCAGATGGTATGTATTGCCACCTCCTCCAGCTACCAGTCCTACCGAGACAAGCAACGGAGAGCCCATCCGGAGACCAGATTCCTGTCCAGAACCCGCCAGTGCTCCCCGTTGCTGTCGTCGCACCTTTCTCCCTGCTGATTTCACCGAGCCTCACAACACTTATCCAGATTCCAGAACTTGGGTCTGGCTCCCAGATGGCAAGGGAGTTATCTGCTGAAGTGGTAAGAAGCTGCAGCCTATCATTGGCATGGTTCCACTTTGCACTATATATCCAGTCTTCGTGACCGAGGAGGAGAGCTTCAAACGTAACAGAAAATTGTTTCCCCCCAGCCTTGAGCTTGTAAGCCTTATTAGATGGCGATTTTCCGGGAAGGTAGGCGCCATTTAGCGGATCAGAACCCTTGGCTGCCAGGGCCGGAAGTTCTTCTCCTTCATGAACTCTCCAGATCCGAATATACTTGTCCTGGCTCGCTGACGCAAGGAGCAAATCACTGCCAGCATCATTGGTCTCTCTTGTGAAGGAGAGCCACCGAATCCAGCTGTCATGGCCGGTCAGTGTTGCTTCAAGTTCGAATGCAGGGGCCTCGCCACTCAAACCACCAGTATGAATTTGGATAGTATCACGCGTTCCAGCGGCGGCCAGCACCAACACGTCCCCATCTCGACCCAAAGTAGTCAGTGCGAGTGATAGAGGGAAGAACTTGGGCTTTGTTTGGATGGATTGAACCAACTGAAGGCTGTCATCCTCGAAGACCCAGATCTTGATGGTAGCGTCAGCGCTACCTGTTGCGATGACCCATTTACTTGCGAAGCCTGCAACTCTGTGTGCTGCTATGCAATTTATAGGACCAGCATGCTTTAAAGAAGTCTGGATGATCTCGAAGTCCTCAGAACCGGCTGCTGCCTTCCATAAAATGAGCGACTTGTCATCTGAGCCTGAGATAAGATATGTTGTCTCATCATCATCCCGCTCAGGTAAGAAAGAAACCGCTTTGACAAGCTCCTTATGTCCACTTAGCAGTTTCGTAACACCTCTAGGCGTTTCGGCCTATAGTTTCCCCCGTTAGTCTGGGGTTTACGTTGATACCCTTCACACCAAAGGTGCAGTAAGACTCACTTGAGGTCGCCATAGAGCTATGTTGATATCGGCACCAAAGGCTACGATTCCTCTCTTTCCCCAATCTGAGACAGCCGTCTGCCTGTTAGCACCGGTTGCCAAATACTCGACCGATATTCCTTTCATCCCCATGTCCTCGGCTGGGTCTCAGGGCGATAGTGGCGGTTCAGAGTGTGATGCTGAAAATTGAAGATCCTTGGGCTCTGATTGGCTGTCTCCAATGTGCCGTTGGGGTTTGGCTTGCGAGCAGTTTGCTTAGGTAATCGGATCTGGTTGGCGCCCTCTTATGCACGTCACATTGAGAACGAGGAAACTACGACTGGCCAAAGAGGAAAGAACCAGGTTGCGAGATGGCGGTTATTCTAGCCGCTTTGAGCGCCGATGCAGCCCTGCTCCTTCCAACTAACCACCATCCAATTAAGTGGTACTCTTTATACATCAATGCTTGAGACAGACTGTTGCTCTCGCTGCAACGACACAATTTCTCTGTCTGTGGGCAATTTATCCCACTCGTACTCGTTCCTACTTGAACGCGATTATACGCCTCTCCCTGGCCTCTCTGAAACGGCCAGTAAACACAGCTGATTGAGCTTCCTCAAGCTTCCAGGCTGCTTCTGTTACAATGGGCCCCCCAGCCAATGCCGCCGACCCCCAACCTGTGATCCCCCTCAAGATCGAGTTCTCGTAAGTTCCCCCCGCTCATTCGTATCGCACACCTCTTCATGCTTGCGTCGGGGATCTGGCGGGAAGCTTTCTTCTAGCCGGCCGTAACTCACCGAAAGTTCAACCCGGAACCATGAAAATTTTCAGCTGGAAATCAAGATGAGTGAAATTTGACGTGTCAGACAGCATGCTGATGGAATCGTGCATAGAGGTGGCCTAGAAATTCTTTTCGCAGATGAGCGACATCATTCGCTGTCACTCCCCGCCCTAGACAAGGATGGCAGCCCGTCCAACATCGGGTTCCTCATCAACTACCTCTGCGAGAACCTGATGAAGGACGAGAGAAAAGAGCTCTTTGTTCTCGATGACCACCTGTGAGCACCTCCCACCCTTTCCTCTATTCACACTCTCCCTCCATTTCAATGCCCAGTTATAGTCTGGCCGCCAATGTCGGCGCCAGTTTCTCCTCCCACGCAATCTTGGCATTTGGCGCTTCTCGCATCTAATTCGCAAACTGTGGCGCTGACACTTTGGATCGGTTGACCCTAGCCGACCGGGAATCCTTGTCTTGATTAACGACGCCGACTGGGAGCTGGAGGGCGAAGAGTCATATGAGTTGCAGCCTGGGGATAACATTCTCTTCGTGTCAACCCTCCATGGGGGGTAAGCTAATAGACCCCCACCAAGAATCGGCGTCGACTGGACCCCTGGTGAGAGGTCCTCTGAAGATGGAGTCTCTCTCTGCATAACATATAACAAGCGCCGGTCAGGAAGGCAACTCTGTTGTATGGTTAAGATGCAGTTGAAGTTTCAGCCGCGCAAGCATAACACGACATTTGAGGCGCATCATCCAGCCAACCATCTCACTGGTTTCATCGGTTCTTGCTGCCTCAAGCATTAGTCGTGATCCACATATGGACCACGATTCTCTACCTATAGGAGCCCCCAGTCCCAGCCTCTTAGCTGTCAAAAGGAAAATGTCACAAACACGTGGAGTTGAATGTCTCATTGGATAGACTGGGAAAAGACCGTTAGCATAGCCGCGCACCTCGTGCCCCTTGCTTAGAATGACGTTTCAAGAGGCGGGACGGACAACAATAGACGAGCGCGATATGAGACACAATCTGATATGGCAAACTAACATGCGAATCTTCCTACACGTTATTTTTGCTCCGGCCAAGCCCGTCAAGCTGCACCTCATCATGATTCTCGATCGATCTAGAAAGGTCTTCGATGCAAGATGATGTGTAGCGGTGAAGGAAATGAATATGTCTCTTTGTATTCGCCTCTAAAAAGAAAATATAAGGTCAAATTTCAAATACTCCAAGCTTGCATGTCCAAGGCCAGCGTCTGTAACCAACTGGCTAGCCAGATCTGCCAAGTTGCTGCTGGAATTGCACGCATGCATGAAGAATACGTACATACTCGTACGACTTGTGAATAACAACTCAAGGCTGTGCCCCAGTGCTGGCTGCGAGTTACGCCTCGATGCTTTACGATGCGATGCTTCAGAGTGCAGCTGTCGACCGTCTAGGTAAATACGTAGCACTGATATCTCCTCGGAGACCTTATTAGGTGTTTGCTATCCATATGAATAGAATCCGTCTTGTCCCAACGGCCCCCAAACAGCCTACATACCTCGTTGCACCCCCCTCCCCCCTTGGCTGTAACGTCAACAGGCCAGATCCCGGGAGGTTCCATGACATCTTTTTTATGCCCAACCGGCCTCTCAAAGGCCGTGTCGATGCAACCTCCACCCAACCCGCCATTACCGAGAATGTCCACCGTGACCATGGGAATAAACCACACTGCGCGCACGACCATCTCCGGCGTCTTGGGTTCCCAAGTTAGAAATACATGCGAGCCACACCCTCCCCATATATTAACCCATGCGCGCCTCCGATATTGCCCATCGTGGGGTTCGCCATAGGCCAGCAAAAGAGAGACCGGGGGTCTGACTTGATGGCGGGGTGTGGGCTACTCGACTTCTCTCTTTCTTGAACGGCTTTGCTCGAGTGTAACCTCGATCAAGTGTCATCCCCTTCCCCTTCCATCTCAACGATTATCTTTTCTTTTCTGTGAGGAGATGATGATTTCCAACCAGGGATCTGGCGCGGCGTTACTGCCCATCGCCGTTGCGCCCAGTCACCACCACCNCCCCCATCCGTAATCTTGCCTCCCCCCCTCCCCAATCTGGCATGTAAGGCCTGGCCCGTCGTCTCTTGTCGGCATGCCCAGTTTCGCAGAGGTGGGCTGGGGGCATCGCGTTCCGTTCAGGAAGCTCGAAGCCCTGGGGCTGAGAAGTGTGGGTGTTTCAAGCCCAACCTTCATCACAAATCATATTTCATTTCCATTGGTAATAACGACGACCGCAGCTATCAATGCCCAAGAAGGTACCCGTGGGTGCACACACACTGCCACTCTCCAGCTACGACGTAATCTAACTTCTGGTTTTTTTTTTGTTCAAAGCCCAATGTATCACAGAAAAGGGGGGAAAGAGTATTGTTTGTGATATGATAATCATATTTGAATTCATTCTGAAGGGTCTTCAGCCTGTGCTGCTACAACTTCAGCCAAAATGCATAAAGAGGTAGAGACAGGGAAAAAAACACTATTCGAGAGAATTAAGACCATTGTAAAAAAGCAAATCCCCTTTCCGTAAGAACCTAGTCTCTAATAAGAATTGACTCCTTTCGCTCAATGCTGCCACCCAATGCAGAGTCTAGTAACCCTTGTATGTATGCAGCCTGTACCATAAAATCCGAAGGAAATAAAAGCAAAAACTCCAAGATAAAGAGAAAAACAAAAAAAGTATCCAACATACTTGTGGAGTACAACAATCCGCCTGAAATCGCTAACGCAGACAGCCAGCCGTAAACCCGTTCCTTTTTTCGAAATGTAGACTCGAGCACATATCTCGAGTAGAAGAGGAGAAAAATAAGACAAACAGAAATATGTCCCCCCACGCCCAGAGCCCTCGTCATCGTGCAGGTGCCTAGACCTGGAGCTGGTAGGGAAAGACGAGGTGCTGCTTTTGAAGGAGGAGGATGCTCCTGTGAGGGCCGGGGGGGGGGTTGAAGTAAAAAAAGAGAAGAAGGGCAGAAACAGAACAGAGCGGACAATAACCAGCCCAACTGAGAAAACAAATATTCCACCTTGTAAGCGAGACAAAAAAGTAGTTCAGACAGCCTCCCACGTTCCACAGCAATAGCATGCGGGAACTCCGTATGGTCCAATAGACCTTCCTTTTACTGATCCCACCATTTGGGATCAGTTGATCGAGATCTCGACCACCCAAAGTGTGGTCCAAGGATCGCTCGAAAAGAAAACAAAATCAAAAATCAAAACAAAACGACGACGCTGAACCTCCTCGCTGGTTTAAAACTGAGAGAAAATTTGGGGAAAAGACCTCCCTCTTTCCTCCTATCATTAATCGTTGCGGCAGGCGGATCGTCTGGGGCCGTTCCGCCTTGCCAAATACCTGGTTTTTGGATTTTCCTTTTCCTTTATCCTTTTTTACTTTTCCGTGAAAGTCGTTTCGTAGAGCTCAAATGCGGAGGCCCTAATTTTGCCCCGGCTGGCAGACGTGTACATGACACATCTAGTAGAGGCCGTGGATCTGGCGAGACTGGGCATCATTGTATATCATGTGGGGAGTGTGCTGGTTCTCCATTGGGAAACCATGAGGGGTAAAGCCCGTGGGAAGGCGGTGTCGGATGACGGTGTCGCTCACTGGCATGGGACCGCTGGTGGTTGGGTAGAGCGGTCCAGGTGCGGGAGACTGAGGCTGAGACACGGGAGAGGTCGGCTTGTACGCGGGCGCCGCCTGGGCCTTTCGGCCTGCTCGGGTGGTAGATCGTGGCTTGCTCTCGCGGCCACCGGCGATTCTTCTGGCCTTTCCGCGACCCTTGATGCCCTTGTTGCTGTTCTTGTAGTGGGCCTTGAAGTACGAGTAGAGAGTGCGGTACTCCTCAGGGATGTGGTTCTCAAGGTTGAACTTGACAAACTTCTGGGTAAGGTCCTGAAGGGCGTCCTTGTGGAAGTTATTCTGATGGGTCTGCGCCATGTCGGTCAGGCTAGGATTTACCGATGTGGCTTGGAGGTGTCACATACCTTCATGTTGCCAAGCTGGGAGAACTTCTTGTCACAGTTGTCCAGAATACAAACAAACGGCTTCAGGCCCTCGTGCGTCTCCTCGTGAGACTTGACATTACCCCGCTGGGCGAATGTCTTGTCACATTTGCTGCACTTGAAAGGCTTGTCCCCGGTGTGGCGGCGCTTATGAGTCTAAGTGAGTATTAGTATGAGCCGTCTACGGCGAAATGAGATACGGTTGGCATTACCTTGAGGTTGCCCAGCTGAGAGAAGGTGAGACCACATCCAGCATAATCACAGACCTATTAGAGTTAGCTCAAGGTGTATCGATCATGTATGAATTTCTATGCTGCCTACATATGGTCGCGCTCCACTGTGTGTTCGGCGGTGGATTTCCAGGTGTGTCTTCTGGCTGAAGCTCTTGCTGCAGTTGGGGCCGGTGCAGGTGTACTTCTTGGGTCGCGCGTTGTGGACTTTAGCAGGGCTAGAGCAAGGTGGTGTACCTTGCTTGTCACACTCCTCGTACTTGGGAGACGGAGCAGGTGTAGGGGCCTGAGCGGGAGATTGCGCCTCGTCCTCTGGCTCATCGTGCTGGAGGGTCTTCATGAGCTGATCGATTTCGGTGTTGAAGTCGACTTTGTTGTGGGGGTTGTCAGTCTCGTTGGCGGTGATGACCTTGGCGTTGATGGTCTGCTCGGGAATTGTTGGCTCCCTCTTGACCGAATAGTTGCTGTCTTGCGAGGGTGAAGGGGACATGGCGGTGCTGTCGAAAGCAGGCTTAACATCCTCGCGGTGGTAAAGCCGAGAGTTGCTGTCATCAGACATGATAGATCTGGTCTCCGGGTGGCTATCATAGCGCTGGGAGTAGGAGACGGGTGCCGTAATCGGGAGAGGGCTGGTGTAGGGTGCATAGCTAGTGGTGGTCGGCGAGTAGTGAGCTGCAGTCATTGCAGGAACGTGAGCAGAAGTATAAGGTGCCATGTATTGCTGAACCATGACCTGGCGGTTGACGTATTCAGGAGATGGTTGGCGCGAGGAGTAGACCATCATACTCTGGTTGTCAGGAATCATCGCATAATCATGGCCGACTTGTTGGGACCAACGTCCCCAGTTTGGGTGCCCCGCTGGTTGAGATGAGAGGGCCATTGTTCGTGATACTGGGCTTTATGAGTGAAGATACAGTCGAGTTGCTCACAAAGTAGTAATGCTGTTCCGGAAAAGTGCTTGTAGGTAGAGCTCCAAAGGCGTGGGTTGAATTGGTTGACAGGCTATCTTCTTTGCGATTTGAAGAGGCCAAGAGATGAGTATCTTGCAAAGTGGGATGTATGTCAAGTAGACTACCAAGTAGTTGACTTGTCTTCGAGATTGAGAAACAGTACTGATGAAAGAAACAAAAGACAAATGACCACCCGTTAGCTGATTAAAGAAAGGTTACGTCTGGGAGAAGTAGACGGTTGAGATGGCACGGGACATGGGAAAGTAGAGGAGTAGGCGATGTTTTATGTGTTTTCAAGAAAGATCATTACACTGGGCTACGATCTGGTAGACTCTCTATGCAAGATGTGCAGCAGGGATGGGTAGCCAATCGTCTGGGTCAGGATTCTTGCGCAGGGGAGGGCGTAGGGGGTGAGGAGATCATAGGATAGGCCCAAGCGGTGTGTTCCCAGTAGAAGCCTCAACCCAGATGCGACGACTACACACCCGGGTTGTGAATACTTTGAGGCAGGTACCATTCATTACCGATGAAGGCGGCCGCTGGTGGTCGGTAGGGGGGGGGAGAGACTCAAGATGCTGGTACAGGAACTA